GGTGGCATTTCATATCATCAGCTCAGCACTAAATCAAAATGATGGATAAATGGTTTTCAGTCCAGACTGCCTTCAGAGCCTTTCACTCTCTGAGCTGGGCTTCTGGAGATGGCAGATGTTGGATGTGACCTCCTGTGAAATCTTTCTCCAGCTGAGGCTAAATTTAGGCCAGAGGCACCAGGAATGTTCTTTTCTCCTAGATTTCTCTTCAGACAGTCTCTCCGATGTCTCTTTGTTAAGGTTAGCGGGTAAAAAGGGACACATGCTGCTATCGAACAGCTGCTGCCTGTGACACAGTCACCACCGTCATTCCAGAAACCTTCGCTTTCTGCGTCTTTCCATTCCCATCTTTTTTTTTTCCATCCATTGTGAATGCCCAGAATGTCATTCTGGAAAAAGGATGCGCTGGCGTTTGGTTTTGCATCACAATGAATCAACACTTGCAGTAACTGTAACTTGTGGAGAGAAGTCACAGTGCTTGTAGATGCTAATGCTCATGGCAGTCAACATTTGTTTTCATTTGTCGATGGTGCCGCTCTGTTAGACCAGACCAGATTCTTTCAACAGCCAAGATTTACCACTAATCGTACCCAACGAGGTAGAGATTTATATACATGGGGTTAAGAGTTCATAAATACACTGTGTGCCCTTTACAAGAAACCCAGAGTAAATAAAACACAAAAAACAGTGCAAGAATTTTAAATAGCATTGCATAACAACTAAGCCCATGATGTATGATGTTGGGAATACTCCTGAATGCTTTTTTGTCATTTCAGTTTCTGGATGTGTTTTCATTAGTCAAATGCATATCTCTGAATATTTCATGTGAGTTTTAACATGACTTATTCAGTCCTGGGCTGTAAACACCCTGAACATGTTTTCTGAAACACGGTGGTGGCAGACAGATTTCTGAGATCAGATGATTAAACACAACCTGCAGCCAATAATATTGAAGTATTTTATTTGTTTGTTTTTATTTATTTTTTGGGGTTTAATTTACCTTTAATGAATATTGATTCAGTCTCTTTGGAAGATGTGCTCAGCCTTATGCTCTCAGACTCAAGTTTGTTTGCTTTTTTTTAATCTTCAAGTGTGTAAAATGGTACATCCATAGAAGATTTCATGTAGTCGACCAGGAAAGGAAAAGCGAATTATTTTCTCATCTTGGATAATGAAGAAACTGTGAGAATCAGTCTGTCAAAAAGACTCGAGCACCATTAATGGGATGCTGGGTGCCATCGATCAGCTCCCATTAAGGGTCTTTCACTTTATATCCTGTCATTTCAGTTCCTCCGTTTCTGAAGGTCTCATCCGAGTGTGAGAGAGATGTGTCCTCTCCTCCCCTCTAGATGGCAGCAGTGGTGTCATTTCTTTTCTTTTCTCCCAGTATCATGACTTTGACTTAATGGTGAGTGAAGCCCAGGCCAACACTCTTCCCTGTTGTTGCTGGGTGGGTTTTGACAAAGCTGTGTTCTGTATTTGTATTTTTACTGAACAAAAAAACAATAATTGTAAATATGTTTAAAATGCCACACAAATTCAATAAAGATGTTACAAAAAGTGAATGGGATAAAACAAAACAAGCTTTCATTGTTAGGTCCTTTCTTACTAATTCATACAAAAGACTTGCAGCGGATTTCATAGTTCACTTTAATAGTTTCCCACAGTTATGGAAAACCTACAGATATCAGGGAATCTGAGATTTGGAATGCCAAGATATTATTTTTTTTTAGAAAGAGCCATAAAAGCCATTTTTACTTTAAAACTTTACTTGAATGCTAAAAAAAAAATAAAGAAGCAGCAAAACTTTTTTCAACATTGATAAATGTTTCAATGTTTCTGAAGGATCATGTGACACTGAAGACTGGAATAGTGATGCTGAAAATGTGCCATCGCAGGAATAAATTACATTTTAAAATACATTCACTAAAATATATTTTTTTTAATATTAGAAGTAATATTTCCCAATATTACTGTTTATACTGCATTTTATTAAATAAATGCAGCCTTGGAGAGCATAAGAGACTTCCAGTCTCAAATACAGCTTATTATATTAAATGTTATATTGATGTTTGGCATAAGGAAATACACTAATGTGATCTCTTAAATACATATTTGTAAATCTTTATCCATAATCATGAATGTGGAAACATCCTGGAAAGTCACTGGTCTAAAGCGTTGGTGACCTTGTGCATTTGTTCTTAACACAGCCTATACTGTATATAGATGGAATCTAGTTACAGCATGGACATTTCAATTATTTCTGTAATAATATTAATGATAGAGGCTTTATCTGTTTGTTTTAAGGCCGTCATGCTGCTTTGATCTTGGCAGCACACATTGATATTATAGGTCATGGTGACCTGGTCCTGGCACATTACCCCTGTTCTCAGTATTCACGTCAGTATTCAGTATTTCACACGTGTGAGCTTGTTGTTATTCTCTCTCTTTAGCAGCAGCAGATTTGAGGGCAAAAAATGAGGGATATCCTTTTTTTTAAGCTGTCCTCTGTCATTGAGCTGTCTGGACTGACCGCAATGTGACAGGACAGGATGGATGGCAAAATCTGGAGGCAGAGGTCATAAGCCGGGTGTCATTTGCCCTCTTTCAACAACCATAGTGACACAGTGTGACCCTGCCGTATCATCTGCTGAACAGATGCTGAACACGCATACAGTCAGGTCCAAAACTCTGAGACCACTAGTGGAAATCCTTGTATTTTACATTTTTCTAATTTAATGCAAAAAAGTTTTTGAGTTTGCATGAACTTCACAAGGGCAAAACCTGATGATCATGTTCTCCAGCATGATATGAGAATGATCCAAACAGTAACTTGTGCTTCAGCAGAAGCAAGAACAAATGTTGAATCTTATGTACAGATTGGGTTTCATCATGTCTAGTTTAGGGTCAATTTAGGCTACAGAGTCAACTGCTGCTCAGTGGAAAGCAGTGAGCGATAAGCTGGAGAAACTAGCATGTTGCATGTGTGTGGAGCAAAAAAAGCACCAAGGTCACTGAACCAGGTAGGTCAGTTGGCAGCTTCTACTAATGATAGCCAAACGATTACACACACAGAGAGCGAGAGGGTGTACTGAGAGCTCCAGTGGCTCATGAGAGATTTGTCTTTCAGAAGAGCATATGGAGCACTTGTTATTTTAAGCATCTGCATGCATGTCATATTTCTAACTTAAAATATAACTTTCAAAATCATTCTGATAATACACTGACTTCTAGTAGGGCCAATGGCTTCTGTTTCGTTCCTACACTCCCCGTCTGTTTTGCGAGTATACTTCAGTTAAGTGAGCAGGACCAAAAGTCTATCCAAATTCATAAGAATACACAAAACTGCAATCAGTTGCTTTAATATGCCGTACTCTTACCTTTACATACCCCTTACTGAAAAAGAATAGGGGTCGTTTTTTTTGTTTTTTTTTAAGAAAACCGAAACTGTCATTTGTACGTCATCCTGTTGGTTAGTTGCATACTTCTGTGTCTGCCTGCTGAAGTGGCTGCTTGTGTTCTTCAGGTCTGCAAAACGGAACTGTGAAAACAAATGATCTTATTTCTTCAAGCAAATACAATGCTGCTGGAGTAAGCTGTCCAACTGAATGGGATGCTATGTTGCATGACATGCATTTAGTATCTTTACAAATATTTTCTCCTCTGGATGTGTTGTGTTTCTGTTGTATAAAACACATTTTAAAACTCAAATTACAATATGGTCACAGCCATTTATTTATCATATGTGCCAATATTATTTTTGAATGATGAGCTACCTAAGAAGATGTTGGTTATTATGCCTGATCTGACCTTTTTGGTATAAAGCTCATCAGTCTTAAAGTGTATTGTGTGTAATAGTACTAAACTGGATTTGCTTCAGCATCCAGTTTTAAATTGGAAAAGTGCGATCCAACACAGTACCAAAATTTGGTGCAACATTTAATTTAATGAAAATTGTAAATTATATAATATTTGCAAAAGTATAATAATGTGTTGGATTATTAAATTCATAATACCATTAAGTTTTTGTGGAGTTGCACCACATGATACTGTCTTTACAACCGGAAATAATCTTGTCTTGTCATAATGTCAAAGTTTCTGATAATTTAAGTGATTAACCTTGACACAGTTATGATGCTCTATCGGGGTTCTCGCTGTGATATCACTTTCTGTTGTGTGTGTGTGTGTGTGTTTTGTTTCCAAGCCACATGGCTTTGGATTGGTGGATAAACCAAAGAGTTAAGTTTTATTTTATTTTTTCAAAGAAATTATAAAGATTATTTTTACAGGAATTTTATTCATCTTATTAATTGCATTTTAATATATTTTTGAATAAATTAACACTTAAAAATGAATGTCATGTCATTGCACCATCTGACTGATTGATAAAAACAATTTCCCCAAAAATAACAATTCTGTCATAATTTACTCATCTTCAAGTAGTTCCAAACCTGTACACCTTTTTTTTTTTTCTTTGGAAATGTCAGTATTTTCCCCCCTCTATACACTGGAAGTCAATGTGCACCAAAACTAATTAGTTAACATCATTCTTCAAAATATATTTTGCGTTCTGCAGAAGAAATGAAGTCATACAGCTTTGGATTGACATGAGCGTGAGTAAATGACAGTATTTTCATTTTCGAGTGAAGTTTGCCTTTAGCTACTGTAGCTTCTACCAGCTGACAGGTGAATTTGGCCAGCAGGTGAGAGACAGTGCTTTGTCCCTGCATTGTGTTTATGTTTTTCAGGAGCTCTGAATTTTAATCAATAGTTCCCAGAGGGTTGCT